GTCTAAATGGCTCTAAGGAACAGCTGTACCAAGTGGCACCTTGGTATAAGAAAATGCAGTATCTTTTGGTATACCGCTAGTACTACTAGTATTTCAGCTACAACGACGTTCAGAAAAATTCACTGTCCATTCTCCACCTAAACAATCATCTGTTTGCAAATTAATACAACCTCGAACGGAAGTGTAGTGGTAAGTAATGAGTTTATTACAAATTTTTTGATTTCACAGAGAAAGTACAATATGGCACGTGATCCCAGAAGGACAATCGCAACGCGTGATTAGACAGAGATGTGTCCAGTTGTACCCAACTCTTCCCTAGACGATTTGCAGCATTATTCAATAATCCCTGCCCATAATTCAGACCGTGAAATAAGCTTTTGAGGAGCGTTGCCGGTAGCTGCTTAATGTGGATGGAGCAGGCGACATTGTAAATTCGCTGTCCACGTGATAATGTACGTAAATACATAATAAGGCAGAGACGTGAATATTTTATTAGTTAACTTTCAAGGGATTAAATTCTACGTGGCACAAAGAAAAAGTAATTAAAAACGGAAATGTAAGGTTCTTTAAGAATAAGGAATGAAATCCCGACTCCCGTTCATATGCGTAAATGCACAGTTTAAGGGGGTAACTTCATAAGTATAATTTGAAAAACGGCTTTGAAATGCATTACCTACAGATATAGTGACCCAAACGAGTATTGTTAATGTTCTGGCATATCTATAAGGAACTCTTTGACATAAGCTTTGACAAAGACCTACGCCCTTTAGTATTATCTGGGGTCATGTATGGAATGAACCGAAAGACAACATATACCTATACTCTATCCATGGTTGGGGTATATCATTTGATTCATATCTCAAAAATTAAGCGAAGAAAAATAAAAGCATTGCCCGTAAAATTTATATCGTACACACCCTAATATATCGAAATTGTGATAAATATTCGAGAACGCGTAAAGCAGTAAACTGCCGACGTTTGAAATGATTGAAAAATGATCCAAACAAGAGGAATAAGAATATATTATCCCGGATTCTGTACGATTTTTTTCCCTTCGTATATAAATGTAATCTGTGGTTCGATGCGCTTTCTGCATAGAGTTTGCAAAACGCGCCTTTACAAAACCCCTTCGTCACGCGTCAACAATGGAGAGTCATTTGAATATAATAAATATTGAGTTGAGATATCGATAATGAATGTTGAGATCTCAGGTTGAAGTCGAGGAGCTCAGGCGCTAATGTAGCGTCTAATACGTGACAGTTCATCCAGATATAATAAACCGCAAATCCGAGGCCAGTTCGACATTTTCCCGATCAAGTTACCTCCGTATTTCAATTAGGGTGGTTTGTTTTGAATGACACTTCGAATACTCTGTCGCGAAGGGCCGCGTCGTGTCACGACATTTACGGAAGAAGACAAATTATATTCTTGATTGCATTGCTTACTCATTACTGCGCGCATATTTACATAACGGAAACCTAAATTCTGTTTATTACTGGGATTGTTTAGGCATATTAGCGAGGAACGAAGGGTAGGCGCGCTGTATAAGCAAAGTGCGTTCATTATGCAAAATTTATGCCAATCATTACCATTCGGCTTGACACGTGGTTATGATATTTTGGGATATATCAGCCTACGTCCCCGATTATTGGGACCTGTGCGGCTGAACTTGCTTATCCCTGTTATCGCCTACTTGGGAGAAGGGACACCTGAGCACACAGTTATTGGCCCTCATAAACTCCACAACTATCATTTAGCTTCCGCTTTTATTTAGCATTCCTTTATTTTGTCGCTGGCAGCTTACGTTTCGCTCATTTCTCTTTTCACGGTTACCAGGATCATAAAACGCGCGAGGGAAACCTGCAAAGCATTTTTAAATCCATACATGCACGAATGTTCTCATTTTGAAACCCCCAATTGTAATTAGGAATATGTTCAACCGTGAAAATTTCTTGCCAACGGTAGGTAAATAACTAATAAAGGGTACCTAATTTCCTTATGCCCAGTTTTTTCTTTAAATAAAGGGTGCGCTGATTTCAATCTCCATCATTGGCACAACATAATGTAACGTATTTAGTGTATTACTAAAGACTTATTTGACAATATACTCAAATAGTTAGGATCCATTATCAATTTATATTATTTAAGGGGTGACTACAAGCAGTAATTCAGTTTTAAGTTAAGTAAGTAATGTAAAGCATCTTATCCGATGGCTTCAATTATTGGATGTTTGTCACGGTAAATGTCATAATTTCATTAGTAGCGGAAAGAAAATGAAGTGCAATGAGAAATCCATAACTGTCTGTGTATACAAGAACCCCCTTGACTTGCTTAGGTTTCAATACCATATGGCAAAACAACATAATTACGTATATCGCACCCTACGCGATTTTCTATATTTTTTGTTGTTACTATAAAATTACATAATTTAGTTTCAATAAAAAAAGGCTACAATGTGTAACAAGAACATGATGACACGTTTCGATATAAAATTAAGCACTACAGTTGTCAATTGCACCGTAGGTAGTACCCAATAATGGCATAATAGGTAGGAAATATATGAATAAAATAAGTCATTAAATGTAATATAATTGTGTTAAAATTGGGTAATAAATCATTGCAGTCACTTTAATAACATATAATTTTAAAACTAGATAGCAATAGGGGATTGTCACAGCGCAGTTGTAGTCAATCGGCTATTGACTCTAATGAGATTTTTTCTATGTGCCAGAATTCGTTACCTATATGTTTCCATAAACCTGAATGAGAAATTTACATATACAGTGATGTCACTTGAAACTAAGCAATGCAGAGCAAAATCCGAACGCCAGACTAGACTGATTCTTCGTTTTCTACAATTTCAGTGTCATTAAAAGAAATACCTACGTAAATTAGAAAAACATAAATAAATGCTATTAATTATAAGTTAGTGGTAAAGTGTGAGAAGAGGTGAACTACTGACCAAAAAAATCATTTTCGGCTGAGATACCAAGTATTGCTCATTCTACTATACTCTTACACACAATGAAATGTATTGGCGATCTTAATAATGCGTATATTTTCACTCTAGGACATCTAGCCATCTACTCTATTGTTACACAAATTGTAGTTATTTCTTTCGGGGTAAACGCTTCAAAAACTTTCTTTACACTCTTTCAATAAACAAGATGTTGTATCTTTCGAAATCATCCGCGTAGGGAAGTTTTTGCAGCAAATTGCATCATTAAGATCGTTAATGAACAGTAGAAACAGCAAGGGACCCAAATTAGACCCTTGCGGCACTTCCTACGTTGAAATATAGTTTCTGGAATAACCACACCATTTTGAAATTGATCGACAAGATTCGGTTTACTGTTATAAAGTTTGAATTCGTTACGTAGATGATGTTTTTGCCATCCTTGGTACCAATTTGTTCTCTTCTGGTTTTTGCTCCTCAATACATCCGTCGATAAAATTTACCTAGACACTGACAGCATACTGTAATTTCCCGATAGCTCAAGAAATGAAGAATTCACAAAGATACTACCACAACAGGATTCATACCAAACTATTCAATTTGTTTAATTATAATTTTCCACTTAAAACAATCGTATTAATCATAAAC